CACCCCAACCTCAGCCTGATGTTCGCCCACCGACCCAGATCCTGGCGGGAGCTGCCCCTGCGGCTGGCGGACTTCGGGGCCCTGCATCGGGCCGAGGCCTCGGGCGGTCTGGGGGGCCTGACCCGGCTGCGGTGCTTCCAGCAGGACGACGCCCACATCTTCTGTGCTCTGGACCAGGTGGCTCCCCCAGAGCATTTCTGAGCTTTCTGTGAACCCCAATATTTCTGGTCCCCAGTTGCCCCTGCACGTAGCCTGCCCCCAGCGGCCTGTTTTAGCCCCAAGGCCCGGCCCCGCAGCACACGGCTCACCGTCTCCTTTCCGGCCCCAGCTGGAGGCGGAGATCCGGGGCTGTCTCGATTTCCTGCGCTCGGTCTACTCCGTCCTGGGCTTCTCCTTCCGCCTGGCGCTGTCCACACGGCCGTCTGGCTTCCTGGGGGAGCCTCGCCTCTGGGACCAAGCGGAGCAGGTGAGCAGGGGTGAGGGGCGGAAGCAGAGGCCCCTGGGTGGGCAGCGGGTCTGGGCCGGAGGCCGCCGCCGGCAGGGCGCACGCTGGCAGGCCTCGGTGACGCCCTCTCTCTCCTTCCCTTCCAAGCTGCTTCAGCGGGCCCTGGAGGAGTTCGGGGAGCCCTGGGACCTCCGCCCCGGAGATGGGGCCTTCTACGGGCCCAAAGTGAGTGTGGCCCCACCAGAGCTCTGTCACCCAGCGGGCGGGAGGGCGCGTGTTGACTGAGCCTGTCACTTGGCTTGTAAGGGAGCGCCACAAGCTGGCCTAGGGCGGGGGCCAGCCTCAGGGCGCAGGGTGCTGCTGGGCGGAGGCTGGGGGTGGAGGTCCAGCACAAGTCGGAACTGGACAGGGAAAGGGCGAGCGGGGGGCTGTGCGAAGTGTAGGGCTTGAGGGGCCACTTTTGGGGAACCGGGGGAGGAGCCAGGAGCGAAGGCATGAACATGCCTCTCGGGAACGCTGGCGCTCGGGAGGCAGAGAGTGGCCGAAGGGCCTGGGAGTCCGGTTCTGGTGACGGCTGTTTGTCCCAGTTCTGTTTTACGAGGCCAGGTGACAGGAAGAGGAGGGAGGGGGCACCCGCGGGCCCCAGCAGGGGCGGCTGGGATGTGTGAGCGCTGCGCTGGGGCGCTGAGGCGCTGGGGCGGGCCAGGGCTTGCAGCTGGACTTGAGGGGGCGTCCCTGGGGCGGCGAGGGGCCAGCACAGCAGGGCCGCCCTGTGGGGCGGGAAGGGGGTACAGTGGGGTAGCAGGTGGGGGTGGGCTCCCCCGAGGGCGCTGGCCTGAGGGGCAAAGGGGCTGTGGAGAGCGGGATCGGCGCGGCGTGCTGCAGCCAGACGGGCACCGGGGCCGCC